GGGGGAGGGGGGGGGAGGGCACTAGGGGAAACAAGGTCTCTCCCAAACCCTTCTGGTCCCCCCTAGTGAGTTTATAGATGGTCAGCAGGTCCCCCCTCAACCTTCTCTTGTGAAGGCTGAACAGGTTCGGGTCCCACAGTCTCTCACTGTAGGGTCTGCCCTGTTGTCCCCAGATCATGCGGGTGGCCCTCCTCTGGACTCTCTCAGTGTTGTCCACATCCCTCCTGAAGTAGGGCGCACAGAACTGGATGCAGTACTCCAGCTGTGGCCTGACCAGCGTTGCATAGAGGGGGAGGATCACCTCCTTGGCCCTGCTTGAGATGCGCCTGTGGATGCACGACAAAGATCTACTAAAGGCCTACACTAAAGGCTTTTGAACATTACGTTTCTCTACCATCTCTACCCCAATAATGACAGATGTCAAGCAGAGTAATGAATAGGGGAAAGATCACTTTAGATCCATCTGGTTCAATGCGCCAAATAGCCACTCCTGTTGTTCTTGGAGATGAGATGCTGGGCAAGATGGGCCATTGGTCTGACCCAGTGTTGCACTTTTTATGTTCTTACATAATTTGCAGTGCGAATTTCCCTTGCTGCCATTTAAGACCACTGCTCCTCATCCTGTCCCCTGCAGTCACAAAGAACAGACTGTCTTCATCTTCTAGATAACAGTCTTCAAATCCCCCCCTCAGTCTCCCCTTCTCCAGGCTAAATAATCCCAGTTCTTACAGTCTTTCCTCACAAACCATGTTTTCCAGGCCTCTTACAAGTTTATTTTAGATATAACAGAAAGGACCCCACTGAAAGAAGCTGTTGACAAACACACAACACTCAGCAAGTGAACAATTACCTGCATCATAGCTTACAACTCTTATTAGCTTGTCACAGATTCAATAAATGACTTACTGATTTCAAGGTGTTAACAACCTTGAAACTGATTCAACTTAAGGGTATTTAAAATCGCTAAATAGCACATTCACAAATTCATTTTAACATGCTAGAAAAGCAGCTGGTAAGCTGTCTGCATCTCCCACCTCCGTGCCAGACCAATTACAGAAACAGGAAAGCAGAGGTTCAGCTCCAGAAGGGCCCACTGATAACTGGCAGAAACTGCTCTGTGGAAGCAGCACCTGGCAGGGGGCAGTTCCCCCGTCCCCTGCCAGATTCAGGACATGCTCGGGTTACTTCTACTACCTGATACATGTAGGAGGGTCACTTCAGACCCACGCTCCTGCTCTTGCACTTGAAGCTACCTAATGCTAAGCAGCTTGAGGATAACAAGTGCTTGTTACCTAGGCCTACATCCTGCCACAGTCTTTTCACATTTCACAAGTGACAAGACACATTTCATCATGGATAACATGCAATAGCCTCTGCAAGTCTTGTTTGCTTTCAGCAGGACTGATTAATCATGGCTTCCATACCAGTAATTCCTTATGCATGAGAACAAGGTCAGCACTGCACAGCAAAGCAACTCAGGGCAGCAGCATGCTCATATCCTCAGAGAACCTGCAAGGTGGATTACTGTACCTGAAAGAGCCCGTGGTGATGAACCACTCCTTCCTGATTGTGGAGAAGGGAAAGGAGAGAGTACTCCGTGTGCAGCAGCATCTTGCCCTGTCGTTCCTCCTGGGTTTCAATTCCTTTGTCACCCCTCTCCTCCAACGTGAGGATCTACAAGAAAGGAAAAAATCCACATTCCTCTCAGGAAAACTAGAGTGACCCCAAATCCTGAGCCGCTATTGCACTGTGTAACTGTTTACATGCGTGTTTAACGGTGGAATGCGTTTCCTCTAGTGTTTACGTACTTGTCACAAACCTGAGCTAACATCTGTCCAGAGTGATGTGGCACATATACAATTAGCTCACAGGAAATACTTGGGTTACTATTTGCAAAGTAACCCCAGCTGTTATCCCTTCCTGCCACCACCATTTCAGTTCCAATGGCAACTGTGAAGATACATCTCCAAGAAGCAACTGGTGGTTTAAATACAGTATCTTCTAATTAGGTGGGAGCGGCAGCAGAGGTAGAGTCACCTCAGAGCCACACCAGTGCAGCTGGTAGAGATGAACTGCTGGTGGGAAATCTAAGCAGGCTTTTCCCTAGTGTGCACAGCTTCTGACTACAGAAACATCCCCATATATTGGCAGCTCATTTCAAGGAGCAGGGAGTTAAAATACCTCCCCAGATCTTCCCCTTATGCATTTCCCTTACCTTCAGTTGATAGAAGTCATCTGTCCCATCTTTTCTTGCCAAACACTGAACAATACTTGGCACTGGGGAGTTACCTAAACGTGGACCTGACAGCACAAAGCAGAACAGACTTGTTTGCTTTTAAAAAGTGATGACTAATGCAGTGTTATGACAATATTCAGCTGTCATGCAGTTTACATTAGTTTAAATCAAGTTCCTTTTTTCAGCAGGGTATGAATGTCCACACTGTGCAGTCTTTTTTTCCCCAGAAACTGCATTGATCTTAAGAAAACAAAGGACCCTGAATTTTGAAGCCTCTTTGGACAATGGCTCATTTGTTCACAGGAATGACCTTTGGCAAAACACTGCACATTGTACAGCTATTTCTTTTAAAAAGGTCTTTCTGCATGCCTGAGCCATACAGCGCTTACATCTGTTAGCATCTGCCGCAGTAAAGAATAACCATGGCTGGACTCTGACCCCAAACTGCCAGTGCTGTAGGCATGGCTCCATAAATCTATTCAATGCACCAAAGCAGCCACCCATTTTGTTCCTCCAGATACATCAGTCCACTTCTAGTATCCAACCATCCCCATTTTCATACAGGGGAACTTGGAGGTAGTGACCAGAGTAATGCAGTGTTCTAGCAATCAAGCAGTGTCCAAGCGCTTAGACAATGTTTGCAGGTTCTGTGCCCAGGACAGAACTGCCACTGTCTTAATAAAATGTGTGCATGCCGATTTAAAGCATGTTCAGTGTAAAGTAGCCTTGAACACACAGCCCAAGGATTTCTAAAGGACCCTACCACACCTACCTCCAAGGATCTGCTATAAAGCACAAGTTAGATATTCAAGGGGGAAGAATAAATAAATCAATAAATAAATAAATCAGAGGTTCGTGGCTGTCTCCATAATAGACATGCCAACTTTGCTAAACCTGCATTAAAAATACCCTGGGATCTCCTCAAGACAGCAGCTCCAAGGATTGCTCTTTTGGATCAACATGTTTGAAGATTTTGATAAGATTCTGTCTTGTCCCTTTTCTGGGCTCTGTTTTCCAGGAACTTTGCCACTGTTAACATCCCCCAAAACTAGTGCATATGACGACAAAAAACCCTGTACTTACCTAGGATGAAAGGGCCTGCTCTCTTGGCATTATTTCCAGAAATCCCGGCACAAAGAGCTTTTGCCTTAGCAGATGTTTCCCCAGCTCCTCTGTCTGATGCTCGCCGCTTCATCCTCAGCTCTTGAAAGAAAGGGAAGATCACACGTCGATGAGTAACCAGGCTGGTTTCCTTATGCTAACCCCCTATCTTGTGCTGGAAGTCTTTTACTTGATGATGCATCTGTGCCTCCACCTACTCACATAGTGGAAGGCAGTTCCTACTGACAAAAAGCTATGGCTCATTTACTCCTGGATTAATTGAGGGCTATAGGCTTTGTGCATTTCTAGAAGGTACACGTGAGCCTTGTTACACACAGCACAGTGTTCCTAGAAAATTAGTTTCTAACAGATGTAGCGGGGAAGAATCAAAATAACGAAGGTTTGTTTTACAACCAAGCAAGCCTATGAATGGACAGGTTCTAAAAATGCTTCAGAAGAATGGGCCTCTACTCTTTCATTACCCATAAGTCTGTGAGCTCAGGCCGTGGAGCCCTGGAGGTCTGTTCACAGTAAAGGATTTCAGTTTTAACTGCCAAAGCCAACTCGTCAGGAGGACAAAGACACACAATTCTCAGCAGTCTGAGGACTAATGTCTTTAATTGTTCACAATCACAAATCAGTACCTTCCCAGCTTTCCTAAAAATGGAGAGAGGCAGAGGGAGGGCACAGGAATTACCTGAGGATTATCAGTTAGTTCATCGCATTTGTAAAGTGTAAACATGTTTCTTTACAATTTACCAAAAATAAGCCATCCCCCCCACCCCTTTGTAATCTGTTCATTTTACGACTAATTCCTTTATCCCCTTCTTGTGTCTATGCAGCAGGATCAAGCCAAAACACAGGAAATTTCAGCCCTATATCTTAAAAAAGAATAAATAATAATAATCATGACCTCTTTTGCACTTCCTTGTGCAGGAAGTGCTGGTTTCCTACCGTCTAAATGAACTGGGACACTTAACAACTCTGAGCAGAGATGCTGTAGTAGAGACATGTTTCATGAAACAAAACTCTGGGGAACCTGGACCTTAGCGCCCCAGCAGCACCACCCACGTGAACGTGCACATCCATTACAGGAGGTCTCTCACTTTTAGGAGTCATAGTACAGCCAGACAGAACTAGCGAGTCCCTGAGCTTCCCTGGCCAAGGCTTCAGCAGGTGCTTAGTTCCTACTCAGGCTCCCCTAAGAGGTAGATGCCTCTGGTTGCTCATCTCTGCAAAGAGAGGAAGCACTGCAGATACAATACCCTAAAGGTCCACATCAACCCAAACCTCAGACTGGTCACACCCATCTCTCTCCAGGGGAACATCTGGCCTCAGCTCAGCAGGAAGAGAACCTCTTTCCCAGTCCGTGGAGCAGCACTGCATTTGCTCTCCTCCAGGCAGAGAGTGCACGCTGTGAGTGCACTGCAGTGGCAATGAAGGCAGGCACCACTGTGTAGAGCTCTCGTTGAAGGAGCAATTGTAAGAAGATTGACTCATCGGCTAGTTGCACTGACCACTTGAGAGGCACTTGACAAGGAACAGTGACAAGCCCCCTCCAAACTGCCCACACTTCCCCTTTTCCTGACCCTAGAGAGGTCTAAATCAAGCCAGCTATAATCCCCAAGACAGAGGGGGAGGCTGCTTTTCCACAGGATGCATCAGACTGATCAGCCCCCAGCCTGCCAATAGGGGAGTGGGGAGCTCACTCCTCCAGGAGCCTCACTGGTGACAAACTCACCCTGCCTCCTCCCTGCCGACGGGCACTGACAGCAGTATACGGGTTTACACAGCAACATCTCACTGCCTGGCAGGGATAGCAATGATGGGCAGCAGTGGAGGTGAGGCAGCCAGGATGCCCCGTTACTGATCCTGATCAAACCAGGTCTTTGAAGGCAAGACTAAATGAAGTTTCATGAAGTTCAGTGCTTAGAGCAGTGTCCTGTTTTATGTAGCACAGAAACCCCACCTCCGTTCATGCTGCACCACAGACTGTCTTGACCTTGTCTAAGACCCCTCCATTCCCAACAGCTCCATCATGCCAGCTGAGAAGATGCAGGAGCCAACTGCCTCTGCAGAAACCTGTGACTAGCGCCCGCAGGACCCTTTGGCACATGTGGCATTATCATAAACAGAACAATCTGAGGACTCACGTTGTTCAGCATCAACTGTATTTTTACTCTTCTTCCAAACTAGGTTTTCCAATGTTTCAGGAGACAGGAGGCATCACCCTAGAGAAAGCTGGCTGGTCAGAAGGTCGTGGACTCTGTAATGTGAAATGAGACAGGCTTGATGCTACAGTTCAGGATTATTTTGGGTTACGATAACACTCTGGCAATCTACAGCCCGCGCATTTATCTTGTGTTACAATGATCCCTAAGCACCTGTTCTCACCCGAAGAAGCACAAAGGGATTGGGAAGCTGCGACTGCAGGTCACAGGGGTGCACAGTGCTGCACACATGAACGAGTACTTGCCTAAAGGATCCTTCACACTGACATTCTGTGGCACGAGCTGGATCATTTAGAGCTGAGAATAATTCAATCAAACGTTAGGCTAGAACATGTCTTTGCTACAGAGTTTTAAAGGATGACTGATCATGGACTATTTTACCTATATGAAGGTGAACAATGCCATCACCACGCTTCCATGGAAGCAGGGAAGAAAACTGACTCTCCAGAACTTAACATTTAATTTCCATTTGCAGCAAAGTGTTAACAGGTGCAGAGCTTATATTTCAGAGAGCAAGACAAACAGAACTTGATACCGAGTTCTTGCAAAATAACTTCTCTTTTCAGGCCAAGCTAATAAGTGGCTCTCAAAAAAACCAAAAAAGCCCATTAAAATTCATTGCATTTGGTCACATCTCAAAGTAAGACTTTAAGTACGAGGTTCATT